CCGACAAAGTTTCATAAGTCGGGGTTCAGACGGAGAAACTTTTGTCGCGGCAACTCGTTACTTGTGTGAGAGAGGGGGACGAGGAAAGGGGAAAGGCACCGGGGCTCGTGCTCGGGCAACACGCTTTGTGCTATCGTTCGTCTGAGTAATTCTAGTTGGCCGTTCACAGATGAAAACAACAATTTTGTACAAAAGAATTTCTCTGTGTGAACGCGAAGGGCAACACCAAAATAGAAATTGCCGAAAATGAGCAACAAAAGTTTCTTTGTGTGAACCTAGTCTAAGCAGCCGTCTTCACGTGCCGTCCGCACCGTGCGATTTTGCGTTCAACTCACGCAGGGTTGCACGAAAAATATATCGAATGCCTAAAAACATTAAAATATAAAAAAAACATCAAAATATTCGCCATAAAAAGGCATTTTTATTGTCACACTTTGCATTCTACGGCAGTTAAATCAAAATTTTATATCAAACAGTGCATTATAAACTATATTTCTTGCCTGGATTAGATTAAAAAGGACTATTAAATCAAATAATTTTGACTATTTGGAACAGCTGACGAACGACGCGCGCGATTAAGGTGGCTGTACATTATCCATAAGCCAATGGGAAAGTGGATGCTCGCCAAATTAAGTGACCCAATCTCACACCAGGATTGGGAGAGAAGTACAATCGTTCCAGCAGGGGGACTTTGTAGTAATTAAAAATATAGATACAACGGTAGGAACGAATAAGATATTGATTCCAAAATACAAGGGTCCTTACGAGACTAACAAAATGTGTTACCAAAAGACTGCTACGTAGTTAGAGCCTTAGAAAATTGCCAGATTACGCAAATTCCGTATGATGGGATAATCGAAGCAGGAACATTAAATTGTGGAAAAGGGAGGATCAAAGCGACACCTTAGACTAAGATCAGTGTAATCGAAATAATATAAGCAATAGCATAAGCATTTGTAAATAATGTACATTTTATTTTAAGGTTTTGTAACTAGCGGCATAGTATACATAGGTAGGTTTTGCAGGATACCAACTATTAATTTAGGGACCAGATGGCAACACTGGTCGGGGGCATGGAAATAAAGCCATTGATGATTGAAATTTATAACAAGCGGACGTTTATTTGCTTAAGTCTCTTATTTTTTATTTTTTAGTTCAAATAGCTCGCGCGAATTGCGTATTTCAGGAACTTATAATTCAACGTTCACGTTCAGCATTTTGCTTAAAATGAATTGTCTTTACTATTGTCAGGACGCCTACGCCACGGAGACAATTATCAGAGTTTTTGACAACTAATACGTATTTCTTTATTGTCTTGACAGCATTGTCCAATGTAAACGAGTTACGATATCACGACAAAACCACATTTGAGTAGGTATGTCGGAAAAACATCGATGCATCGAAAAAATCGATGTTTTGCTTCAATGCATCGAAAAGTACACTGGATGTATAAATAGTCGATGCGTCGATGTTTTTTGAAAACTGGCTTCTCTAGTACATTAACCGTCATTCCACTTTTTGAATTGTTCAAAAACCGGAAGTGATTTTGTCCAAAAAATTTAAATGGCTCCAAAAAGTTCCGTTAGGAACATAATCCGCTCAGTTGCAGTAATTTATTTCAAATTTCGTAAAATTTTGCTAATAACATATTAGTTGCGTTCCAGATGCTCACGATATGCACGATTTGCAGTTGTTTTTTGCAGGAAAGCGTTCCAGGTGCCAAAAAACCTGCAAGTCAAACCACTTTTGTGAGAGTAACTTGCTCTCTCTCTCAGTCAGAAGTTGCAGGTTTTAGTCCGAAGTTTTTCTTCCTACAAGTTCATGAAGTGTCAAACGATAGGCAGGGTTGCATTTGTAAACAAAAACAGATAGCAAAGAACATTAAGCGCCACGAAGACAATCAAATTAATACGTTAAGTATTGCATATGTGTGAGATTGGCTCGTGTCTTGCCCGCAAACGTTCAAATAAACGCGTTAATTGAACAAACGATTTCTTTTTCTTGTCCGCGCACTTACCACGACGATCAGAAGGCCAGTACGCTTGTTTTTTGTCAAGCAAAACGCGAGACGGTTGATAAAGATATTTGATCGTCTCCATGGCGCTTAACATTAAAAAAAAGAAATGGAAGTAGTTACAGGAAAAGTGGTTTTTCGCGTTACAAGTGACTTTTATTTTTTCTCTCTTGCTCCTCTCTTTCAAGAGAGTAATTTTGTTCTTTGACAGTTTTTCAGGTAACTCGTAGACTAGGCTAAATTGTACGGGCCGACAACATTTACTACCTTTATACGCCCGTATTATTTGCAAACAATTTGGAAAATGGTAAACTTTGCCGTATAAACGCTGAGCTAATTTCTTATTTGCAAATAACTAAATCACGCAGAAAAACGACATGCATTCAACTGACATCCCTGCATATGAGCCGCTCACCGTCTGTGGCAAACGACAGCGAGCATGTTGGCGAGCATGGGGGTTGGAGGTGCCACGCCCACCCCACCTTCGCACATCGCCGCTTCAACGCTTATAGGAAAGTTTCCCCCGAATTCTCGATTTATAAAGCAGCTTCTTTATTTGATTGTAAGTTTATTTCTAAGAAAAAAAAATTTTAAGTGAGTGAAAAATTAGATATGAGAAATTTTCGACTCTGAAGACTGAAAATATCAGATAGTTGAAAAAAATACATTGTGAAGAAATTTGGAGGAAACCATTTTAGTATGTAGTTTTGATGAAAGTTATCTTATTTCTCCACTATTCTGCTGAATGAGCTTTTGTTGCTCACGCTCAACAAGTTGTTTGTGTGACAAAGAACGTGTATGTACAATGAGGTTGGTTTGACGCGGGAACGATTTATCGCATAGCGTACATCTGCAAAGAACGGGTTTCATTAAAATATTTCTATCTAAATATTCTCTAAATCACATTACTTAAAGGAACGTTCGCCAGTGTGCACAAGCATGTGATTTTTTAACACATATGATGTTGTAAAAGCTTTACCACACTGCGGGCACCCGAATGGACGTTCGTTGGTGTGAGTTCTGAAATAAAAGTATTAAAAAATAAAGTTTTAGTCATAAGGCCAATAAATAACAAAAAAAAAAAAAACAAATACTTAAGGCCGATTTGCACTAGGCATTAAATGGTAAAAATTGTAATCACAAAGTTGGACATTAAAATAGTATTAATATCATTATTGAAAAATAGTCGTTAAATTCATTTCCACGTGACATTTTTTAAATGCTTTCAATTTTTGTCATTTCAACCTAGTGGTAAGTCGGCATTAAAGTTAGAATTCTAAAAAAAAATTATCTTTAAAAAGAAAACAAGAACCACAACAACCACATGATCAAGTCCAAATAGCAGCAGAATTTTTGCCCTTGATTGCAGTTGGGTAGACCTATGAAAAAACTGGAAAAAGCAACAACAGTTTACATCGCTAGTTCATATCCCAGTGACCGCAGTGTGAAGAAGTCTCTTGAGGTATGTGGTTATCTCCGAAATAGCAGCTATAACTTCTACCATTTGTAAACTATTGGTGTTTTTCCACCATAATTGCTCATTAAAAATAGCCTCAAGCTCAATAAAATTCTTTAATCTTTTCCTTGAAAAAAAAAACGGTGTTTTGGGCTTGAAATTAGAAATTACCGTTCATGTTTAACTCGTGTGCTGTAGTCGGTGAAACGGCGTTGGCAGTGTTGGCAAGCGAATGGGCGTTCGCCGGTATGTCGACGCATATGACGTTTTAGTTCGCCGTCAGTGAAAAACTTGTCTGGACATACTCTGAAATAAAAGATATAATTTAATACATAATTGGTCTAAGCTATTTGATCAGTAACCTTACTCGCATTGCACCGATTTTACGCCGGTATGCCTTTTAATGTGTGAATAGAAATGACTGCGATACTTAAATTGATTACCGCATTGATCACAAACATATATTCTTTCTTTACTTTTCCCTTTTCCTTTGGGTTTCTTTTCTGGAAGATAAGCTTTCTTTTTATCATTTTTGTCGGATTCACACTTCCTCACTTTTCTCAATCGAGTTGACGTAGATTTAACCGGCTTCTCACTGTCGCCTATAGTTGTTTCCAATTCTTCTTCAATACTTTCTACTGTTGTATGCCTTTGCGCTGGTTTGTACGTTGTGTCCTCTATTTTCTGATCCAAAGGTTCCAACTCTTGTTCGTCATAGCTGGCATGAGCAATTTCATCTTCGTTAAGTGCCAGAAATTCACAATCGGCATGCGCCACTGTATTAGGAATATCTTCGAGACTCTTTTCTAGTTCGGTTTTCACATCTTCTGGCGCGCATAACATCACCTCTTCTTTAACTAAAGCAGATTCGAAATCTATTTTACTATTAGATTTACTTTCTTTCTTAGACTGACCAACGTGGGTCTTATATTTCGCGCTAGAGAAGTACTTCTGTGCACTAATGCAATGCTCTCGAAATTCATAAGCACGACTCAATTCCGTTTCACAATCAGAACACATTGCTGTTGGAATATTGCTGATATTTTTCAACTGAAAGTAGAAGACCACATAACAATTGTGATTTCCATTTGGCCCATAAGTACCTTGACACCAGTTAGTTGGAAGATCCTCCGAATTAGAGATTTTCGACTTCTCTCAAAAAGTGACACTGCGCTTAGATTTTTGATCGACTTCGCGCAAAGCCTGCATAGCTTTGAATCCTCCCTCATTTTTAAACAATTATGTGTATTAATATGACTGCAAATCCTGAAACAATTAAACTGCTAATACACGGACGCAGCGCTGGTAAATTGCCAAATTGTAAATAAAACAAAATTGTTAGAGGAATAGTGTTGCCAGGTGCCTTGGATTTGAGAAATTATAATACTGGGAATGGAAATACAACAATTTCAAGTCCAAAGAAATATCCATTTTAGTAACACCCGATTTACATGATTCAAGTACTAGAAAGCAATTCTTGCTCATTCTCTTTTGTGTTTTCTATTTGCTTTTACACGTTTCAATTCTGTTGAATTCAAGTTTTTGGTTCTTTAAATGGGAATCAACGAAAATGCCAAAAGCAAAGCAAGAAAGTTGAAACGACTTGACGGTACAGACGCATGTGTACTCGTCCCTTTTCTTCTCACCCCCTCTCTCCCACATGCGAGCAGAATTGAATTCAATACTTGAACTGTGTAAAAGCAGTCTGATAAATGCACATACTTGTATGTAGTATATACGGAATTAGTTAAACCGTTTATAAATTTAAAATTTTAAGTTCGTATTCTTTAAATTAACTTTATAGTTTAGAAGGATTGCAGAAAACTACTATTAATGCTGCCAGTTAGTCTGTTGCTTTGAACTTTGGACTAAAACCTATGGAACTGTCAAACTACAATTTTACTCTCTCAAATGAGAGTAAAAGTAGAACAGATGCAGAAGTGCATAGGAACGCAAAAAGCACTATTTCCTGTAAAAACGTCAGACGGTTTGTTTACATGTCATTGGTACTACACTGATTTGGCTGAAATATCACTAAATAATTATTAAAATCTATACATATTCAAACATTTCGTTGTTTA